CCACTGGTCTAGGGACACCCTGTATATGACACTCCATATATCAGTGAAGAGAATGTATACAAAAACTAAATCCCCGCGAAAATCATTCGATAAAATATTGCAGATCGAGGAAATTTCGAGTAATTGGGAATCCATTTGTGCAATATATTTCAATATCCTCCTGCTCATAAATTGTATATTATTGTTTTTCGAGTACAAGATTCAGAACAGATCGCAACAAGATCGATCAATCAATTCGAAGGCTATATTAACCCTTAACTACTAACGTTCCAAATATATAACGTTGTCACTAACCATACGTCTCACAGACGGGACTATCTAAATGTCCATATAAATCCTTTTTTTTTGTGAGCTATTCAAACACGTTCTCTGCATATCTGGCGAAGAGAAAATGATGTTCAAAATTGAAATAGAAATACAAATTTCAGTGGCGATCAAAATTTCATGGAGGAGTACCTAATGTTCAAAACTTTGACGTTGATCTATAGAAATACCAAAATAAAATTGAAATACTAAAATTATCGATGATATTATTGTCATTCTGAATACAGTTAGAGTCGTAATAAAATATGACTCAGAACTAAGTCATGAACATGCGAATTGAAAAAAATGACAATGTCTGTATATCCAGGTATAGACGCCATCATACGTAATATAGGGGAAATTGAACTTTTATTGTTACGTAATAACTAACTTTACGTCTACGAGACGGCAATCTATCTTTCACTCAAGATATTTCTGAAACTGAACCACAAAGATCAACTTCAGGGTACTGAATGAGTACTGGGTGGACATAAATTACGTGGTAGGACAACGGTCGATATTGAAAAGCAGGGGTAATCCAACAAATCGGATGCTGATATGCCGTCTCTGAGACGTATGATTAGTAGTTAAGGGTTAAATATAGAAATATTTTTTATAGATAGATATCGATTTCTTGGTTTGATCAGCTTATGCAAGAGCTGAACGATATGTGTAAAAATAATTGCGAAGACTTCATGAGTATCATAAAATTTCTTCTGCGCATGTAGCAATAAACAGAATAAATATGATCATACTTTGCAGTACTGTTATGATTGATGGCTCATAAATGGAAGTCATAAGTTGCCTACGATCTCTCGTTATTTCCATTGTTAGCTTAATTGTTTCCAGGTATATAAAATCAAGAAAAAAATCACATGTAACAATGAAATGGTTGTAATAGTTAACTAAACATATTGCATAATATGAGGACTTTTTATTGACAGAAAAATCGCATCCAACTCCTGTCATGCTAGTCGATATAATATGTTCGATGGTCCATTATGCAAACCTATCAAATCGATGAATAGGAAAAGCAAATCGATTGTTCGATCCAATAAGAATATGAAACTTCAAAAATCCATAGGCATACAAGGATATATGACACCTTAAAATTTTTGTCACTCATTCATATGCATACCCTGTATAAGGAAATACATGAATAAGGCAGTATACATCGTATATCTTATGTGGGGGCCAAGAGATTATCGTCCCGTCTAGTAACTTCTCTGTTTCATTTATTTTACAAGTAACAAAAAGAATCGAGAAATAGTTGATGCGAATTTTGCATTTGCGAGGCGGAGCGTTTAGCGAAGCCGAGCGAAAGCAAAATTTGCGAGTTGAACAAAGCCAGTTCTGATCCGAATGAAACATGCTATTTTTTCTGCAACCGAAACAATTAACTCAAATAAATATGTGAAGTTACCACCAATGTCGTGCCATATGTATGCTATGCAACAAATTTTGACAAATAGTCCGTGTAGTGAGAACCTCCATCAACAGCAGGTTCATTCAATTTTCAAGGATGTTCGAATTGTAGTTCCAATATAAATACAATCACAGAGTGACATATTTGTGTATGGACCAGGTGCTCTAATGGCAAATACCGCGCCAGTGCCAGCTATATAGGAACAAGACGTGGAAATTGTTAGGTTAGTGAGCATATCAACAATAATGAGTTAACACTTCATCATTTTCAAATCGATATATTCTGAAAACGGAACACAGTATCGAGTTTTAACAAGAGTACCTTTTTGGTGTGAAATTGAATGATGTTCAAGTTCTCATCAAATTTGGATTGAAAAATCTAACCTCAATAAAGTTATGTTCAAAACTACTCGGTACGAACCGTGTAACTAGCGCCCCCTATGAGAGTCAGATATAAAAACATGCGATGTGTCAGATTCCAAGAAACATCCATACAAAATTTCATTACAATGTTGCCAGTAGTTTCGACATAATCTTTAAAAAAATGGTAAAAAAATCAACACCTTGTATCTTGATGACGGATGCCGTTACGAAATTTCTTTACTGAGTGGAGCCAACTCATTTTGCAGTGTTCTACTTACCCTAGTCAGGGGGTCAGATTTCTCTGAAACACCCTGTAGAGGAAGGATTAAATCCTGAAAGATAGTAATGATATTAGAGCCTAGCCATAGCACCACTATACGGGAAATATTGCCACGGTGGCAAGTCAAGAGCGTATAAAACTGTTTCGTAGTTTGTTTTGCCAGAAGCGTGGTGGTCATTAGAGTAGTAGTGTTCCTTCCTCCAAACGAAAAGACCGGGGTTCAATCCCTACTCCAGCTAAACTTTTTTTTGTTTTTTTTCCGAAGTAATCAATCGAAAGAACACTATGAAGGCATTTATTGGTTAGGCCGATAAGGATTCGCTATTTCAGGTATATTTCTTTTCAGGATCGACCAGAAATTTTCAGTTTCTCGCGCCCAGCGAGCGAGGCTAGACTATAGAGTAATGATTCCGTCTGGTTTCTATGTGAAACGGAAGCGAACACAAAATACAAGCCGATTTACAATAAACCTTCGAGATTAAATTTTTATTCTGTCGATGTCTCCTTCCCATCTTCCATGTCTGATTTTCCGGGATAAAACTGTGGATTCGGATTCTAAAGCGTTCGATCGTAAAAAATACATAAAAGCTGATCTAGTAGAACGCATCGTAATGACTAAGTTATATTGCTGAAGGGGTATTGTGCGAGGAAGCTTGCGATATTTTCATGGGATATAATTCATTTAGGGAAAAATTCGCCGTTAAAAGTATACTGCTGAAATTCTCGTTACTTGTAATAAAATATTCTCTTCCATACGGAATAGTCCGAATAATGTATCCATGAATGTTGAGGGTAAAGAGTAACCAAACATTGGACTTCCTGATTTTCTTCGAAAACTTGAAATAATATTATGTTCTCAACATTTTTAGGCTTGTATATGGCATGTACTACAGATTAATATCATCAGTTCCAAGCTCAAACCTGCGATTGATTTCGTTTCGAAATCATGATTACATCGAATCGAAATATACAGGGTGTATCTAAATTACACCGGAAAAATTCAAGGGGTGATTCCTTCTGGTATTTTAGGAAATAAAGTGTGTCATAACTTGCTTCGTCTTCGAGATACAGGGTATTAATAATTCCATGAAGAATATTTTTTCTATTCATTTCTCAATTGTCTTTTCATCAATTTCATTGAGACATTGTGGTTTTGTGTATAGCAATATGGAGCTTCTTCTTGTGCAATCAGAATCGAAATCATATCTCCAGTGACGTCACAGTGGGTAAATTTATCGATATTCACCACCGATTTTCCTGAGTTTCATATTTTAATCAGATTAAACTATTGAAATATCAACTTTTTCATACTCCGTGTGATTTTTGTATATAGGCTAGTTTTTGACGAAACAATGAAAATTCGATTTGACTAAAAATTTTGATGTATAGGTGTTTTCAGGACTTCCATTGAGATAACTCAATGACCCCAATTAGAATCATTTTAAAATTTTGGAGCTTTCTCAGTTTCCATCCATACTAAATCTTGGCACCATGAAAGCGTATATATACAGGCGGGTTATAAATAAAAACAATTAATACTTCCAACTCCAACAACCTGTATCTCAAAAACAGAGCAATAAGCAAGGAAACATCCCTTGAATTTTCTCGGTGTTATTTAGATACACCCTGTATAGATGAAGCATTCCCACATGTCAAAATGTTCGGAAGTGTCAATGAGTCGATTTTTTCATGGCATGTCATTTTTCACCTACTATACCAAAAACGCTAATTGTTTCATCAATAGTTAATATTCCTTGAATTAACGATTTACTAGGAATATGTATAACAAGCAAGAGTTGCAAGGGATGGTCGTATACATATACCTACTTGTCGTGCAAACTGTCAACTTCAAAATATTCGCCCAAATCTTTCACCCTGTAGATCTTTTAATCCTTGTCCGATTTTTGTGAAAATTCGATGAAATCGTAGATTCATGTTCCGGAATGCTAGCCTGAATATAAGTTTCCGTTAAGAGCTGAGGACTTGATCATTATACAGGGAAAAACCAAAGTTACTTCTTCACCTCTTATTTATTAACGCCCTGTGGCGAATTTGAGTAGTAGAACTTGGCTATATTATGCTTTGGATTGAAGTGTGATTCTTTCTCAGCACAATAGTTGTTGATTCACGTCAATATCTCATTTTTAAGAGGTTGAAGGTTGAGAATGATTCTCAATTATTGCTAATGAAAATAAAAGAAATCCATACTTTCTTGAAACACTTGTATCTTCTCTTAAAAAGTGGTTATCGACATGAATCAAGAACCATTGCGTTGAGAAGGAATTACACCTCAATTCAAAACATAATGAAGCCAAGTTTGACCACTCACCTTTTCCACAGGGCGTTAGGAAGGAAGTTAAGGGTGAAAGAGTAACTTTTGTTTTTCCCTGTATAATGATCAAGCCATCAGATTTTCTCGAGAACTAATATTCAGACTACCATTTCGAAACATGAATATACGATTCGGTCGAAATTTCATCAAAATCGGACAAGAATTGAAAAAGTTACAGGGCAACAACAATTTGGCTAATTTTGTTGTTGTATTTTGTCCTAATTTTCTTCGTTAGCAACTATTTCAAGATATTGAGATAATAAGTTCTGATTTTCATTCGTTGTCTATTTGTTTCAGTCTGGGATGAAGGGATTCACCACCGAGGAGATCGCTGTGATACGAGTAAGTTATTCAATTAGTTTATGTATACATACAGGGCTTTCATTACCACATAACACCCAGCATATCTTCTCATTTGTGGTGATAACAATTTTAGGAAAAAATAGGCCGATTTAGATATTGAGGGGGAAAGTAGAATACCAGTATCGATTGGAAGATAGGAAGATAGGAAGGTCAAGAAATACAATTTTCCACTGAGGTATTCGGAATAATTTATTCAAAACAAGCTCCAATATTCTGTACCCAATCTTACCGCCTATTTTAAAATTTTTCACGAAATTTTTGAAATGTTCTCCCATTCATTTGTCTACATTTTAAAATAATGTTCTTAGTTAGAGTCTATCAATATTTCATGACGAAGCTTAGTGTATAACCATTGATTGCATGTGACCCCACAAAAAATTATCAACAAGAGTCAATACTGAAGAACTTGCCAGTCATGATTAAATATAGTTGCAATTGACTATTTATAGAATATTTCTGATGGAGGTGCGAATAAACAGTTAAAGGAACAAATAAGTAGATCAATCCAGTCTACTTACACAGCAATGTCGTACATTCTCCATTATAATTCATTTCTTATAACTCCTGATGATACCTTTCATGAAAATTGACAAAATTTTCGGCTGTAACTGACCTTTTCCTTTCAATCGATTGTAAGTATCGTAATAATCGACGGTGTTCCTCTGATATTTATAGACACATTTTTAGTTTTTTTTCACCTATAGTTAATTTGGTTATTGCTAGACTTTGAATTTAATGTTTCTCGAGGTACAGTGGGAGCCATTTGAAATTTTGAAATAGGGGTGTCTGGAGGTGAAGGAGATGAACATAGCATCATATCTAAACCGACCTATTTTTCCTGAAAATTGTAATCACTGTATCAGATTAGGAGATATATGCAGGGTGATGGTGAGTTTTGAAATAGAAGTCCTGTATATAACGCACAGAGTGAAGGAAAATCACAAGTATATGCGAGTATTTGCTCAACTTTTATGGAGCTATGTACTTTTTGTACGTGTATATTGTGGGGTAGAACGTGTGCACAGGAACAAGTAGATACTAGGTATAATACCAAAGCAATGGTCTCTTCAGTGATAGTAGATTGTTTTATTAGGATCAAAAGTGACACTTTGTTTGACAAGCGAATTTTGCATTTGCGAGGCGGAGCGAAAGCAAAATTTGCGAGTCGAACAAAGTCACTTTTGATCCGAATAAAACATGGTATTTTTTCTGCAACTGAAACAATCAACTCAAATTAACATGTGAAGTAACCACCAATACCGTGCCATATATGTATGCAATGCAACAAATATTGACAAATAATCCTTGTGTTGAGAATATTCTACAGCAGGTTAGATTTTCTAGGATTCGATATTGATACAACCACAGAGTCACATATTCATGTATGGACCAGGTGCTCTGATGGCAAATACCGCGCCAGTGCCAGCTAAAGGAACAAGACGTGGAAAATGTTAGGTTAATGAGCATATCAACAACAATAATGATAATAGTGATTATTTATTCCTCTCCATACTACACTGTATTTGACTTGATAATCAAATGAAGCTAAACAATATCGTTGTTTGAGACAAAAAACTATTGCTTGCCATGATTATTCAAAAACAAGTAATCCATCCCGAGAATAACGGATGAAATACAGATCAAGCAAGTATTTGAATCTTGAAGGCTTTCCTGATTAAAACAAAAATACTCAACTGAGATGTTTATAATTCCAATACTAAACTTTAATAAGGTGTATTTATATCTCCAGTATGGGTATGAAATGCCAAATCTGCTGAAATCGGAAACAAATCAGGTATGCGTCTCAACCCATCAGATAACCAACCGTCACAATGTTGTTTATTCTTGATGACGTCCAGTAGATCCTTTCTGGTTCCTAGGAGCTTAAGTTCAACTCCTAGGAACTAAATATGTTGCCTAGCAACATACCTATTTTTGTGTCAGTAATATAGAAACGTCAATTTGAGAGCTAATTTTGGTATCATAATGGACGACTTTTGTGACGGTTGCAGAAAAAATTCCTTTTTATTTATATTGAAACATTCATTCTGATTATTCTAGACAACTCGAGACAATGTCAATAATCAATTATTCAAATAAGTTCTGTCTTGAAGACATAAAACTTCTAGATTCTCCACATTGCTGGTATAGGGTGATGCAAAAACTATAATATGAACAAAACCGAGGCAAACCTCTACAGTTGTATTTGATTACTACACAAGATTTTCACCAAGAGCGATTCCATAATGCTTGATCAGGAAGAATTTTCCAAAGTTGGTATTCTACATACATTTTATAGATTATGCCGCTGCTGCATATTGTACGATCTCGCTAATGCAGATATAAGATGAATTTTGACGAGGTCGTAACCGGGAGATGCCATGCACTTTATAGTTGTAAACAAAAGGTACGTTATTAAACGTGCAAGTCTAGAATGAGAATCTTATCTCAAGTTTATGTGTATTCCGCCACTTGCCAGGCTTTATCCAGGGTCCTTCTCTATCTTTATCCCGAAGCACCCTTCCTTGTTGTACGATCTCCGCGAAATAAGCCATTGTAATCTGCAGATACGGACGAAAAATGTGCATTTTATGCAGCTGTACTAAAAGTTGCTACCTGTGATTATCTTGTATATTATCAAGGGTTATACGGGATGATTTAAGTCTTCCAACTTGAATGCAGTTGGATTAAAAACGTGAAAATTGGTATACATGGTGGGGCATTAGTGCTTATCGGATCTCGATTGATCAAGTGCTATAATAGCTAGAAACTTGATTCAAAATCGAATGTGAATGAGATAACAAAGTCCATGACTAGAAATTATTGCCGCATATACAGGGCGCACCGAAAAATATCTAAAGGGTCAGGATCACTTTTTTCAAATGGAATGCCCTGTATATTGGCACATTTTTGGATGCAGTCCTGTGACCCCCATCATCTCCCATAATATCGTTGACTATATCTATTTAAGAGAGAATAATCATAATAACATTTGATGGACAGATGCCTGATATTTCTGAGGAATTTCCATGCCCCCAACTTATACAGGGTGGCTGAAAATTTTGTTTTAATTCGGAACTTTCAGAAGTGATTTTTCTCGAGTTTTTCCTCGAGTTATTCAAATGGAACACCCCATATATTTTTCGGCCATTTGATGTAAAATCGAAACATGAACATCTTTCTTCTAAACATGTTGATATTCGTAGCATTTTTGAATTATTGTACTTTGTCAAAGCTACCTTTCCTATAGGCATGGGACCTTTTTTTGCAAATTACTTTCCAAAAATCTGTACTACCAGAAGCTGTAGCTTTCGCTTCTTATTTTGATTGAAGCATTTTTTTCATGAATAGAGACCTATTAGGGCTTCATTTTAGAAAAAATTCATGTTGTAAGGGGTGTGCCAAAAACACGAAATGTATCAAAGTTGCGATTTTTTAAATGGGATTTCCTGTATAATATTGCATTTCCAGATTTTTCCTGAAGAGCTGATTTCATCAGGGGTCCAGCGGGAATCATTACAGAGATATAGGGTGTTCAAAATCAAGATTTTTCAACTTTAGAATTGGTTTGTGTCGAAACTATTCATTATCGACCAAAGTGGCTTACATGTCCCTATCTTAACTGTTGATCATCTATCAACTGACATTTAATTGGAACAAATACAGGGTGGTTCAAGATTCCAACTGCAAATGATTACAATTATAATGACCACGAAGGCTTCGCTTCGTGTGTCATCGTATGGGTTCGTTCCAAGATGTCCAAGGTATTCTAAAATATGAAACCAGCGTACTATTAAAATTTACCAAGAAGATCCAGTCTATACGACAGGAATATTGGGAGTATCTGATATTTCCAGGAGGACATGGCATATGATGGTCATTAGATGCATTTTTGACTCAATGGTCTGGGAATCTTTTTTATATGACGATTTAGTTTTTTATTGGTATGCAGTGGGTTTTCAATTTCAGGGAAACATTCTATAATGAATATCAGTAGTATAAATATTACACACCACTGTAGGAGTGTCATTCTAACCCATTTTTCCGTTTACTACTACTAGTTCAAAAATAGAAATGATTCGAATCAATTCAATGAAATCAGAAATCAGAAATCATTTATTACTACAGAATGCATAAACTTATCGGACTAGTCAGGAAACGAAAAAATAGAAAAACTAAGTGTAATACATAGATACGATAGACTGAATAAAAACAAGTTTTAAAATGGTATAAACATATAACACTTGGACAACTTATCAATTCAAAACTCGAATGACTATAATTTCAAATTATATACATGAAAAATACAATATCATCCAAGTATAGTACATAGATACAAGAATGTATATGAAATAAAACAGATTAAACAGATAGGGACAACATATCTATTGAAATAGTTTCAAAATATATTCAGGAGCCCAGAAACACTTCAACGCTATAGAAAGCTTTATCACTCAGAAATGTTGATATCCTAATTCTAATTGTTGACATGCTACCGCTCATGTCTATTAGATTTTTCATCTTATTGAAACATTTGATACCAACATATTTTGGGGAATTTTGTCCAATGAGCAGACGGGAAAAGGGCAGATGAATGTTTTCCTTATTCCTTGTATCATATCCATGTATCTGGTCATTTTTCGGAAATTTATTTTCATTGTCTTTTATAAAAATTATTAGGTTCAAGATATAAAGGCAAGGTAGCGTTAATATTTTTAATTTTCTGAATAATGGTTCACAAGGTTCTGAAGGGTGAGGTTTGTTCATAGTTCTAATAATTTTTTTTTTGGGACCTGAATGCCTCTAAAAAGTAAGGCGAGGATCCCCAAAATATTAGGCCGTATTGCAGAGCTAAAGGGCATTTTAGACCGCAAAAACATTAAGTTAGTCAGTGCAAAACTGATTTGATGGCAACTGATCATCAGAAGGGCACTTCCACATTGACGTTCAATGTTTTACCATAGATCTTTTCACTATCT